AGCCTGTAGCGTTGCATGGGGTTGTTGTGACCCAAGTGCAGGACCCGGCACTGAGCCTTGTTGAACCTCATGCAGTTGGCCCCGGCCCATCGGTCCAGGCTGCCCAGGTGCCTCTGCAGGGCCTTCCTGCCCTCCAGCAGATCGACCATTACCTGTGTGTTTCTCTCTCCGTCCCACAGGGGCAAACAACCTTATCACCTCTTCCTTTGCTAGCAGCCCCCTCTGCTCCGCAGGTACCAACCACCCTTCTGCCTTTAATTGATTAACTTAAGCTAAATGTGAACAATTATTTTCAAGCTGCGCATAGTCTGCTGCTGAAGAAGGGCTTGTGTGCTTGAAAGCTTGTCTGTTTTTTTCAGCCAAACCAGCTGGTCTACCAAAGGACGACTCCCTCTTCCTACGCACCTGGCCCTGCTTAGGTGTCCCCGTGACCCGTTGCGGCGCTGTACTGCGGTACCGCACACGGCGCTTGCTGTAAAGCAAGCTTTGCAGGCAGCTCTCATTACCCGGGTAGCTGAAATGCCAAGTGCTCCCCCACTGCTGCTGCAAACGCTAATACGAAAACCACAGCCCCACAGACTTCCTTTCGCTGGAGCACGTTATTGTGAGCACGCCGTTAAAGCGTAACCTCTTTTCTTTCCCGAAGGTCCATGTAAATTTGCTTCTGGTAGAAGCTCGGATGCAAGCCGAACTACTTTACGCTCTGAGAGCTATTACTCGCTATATGACCTGATGTCTCCGGCTGCCTGTCGACGTTGGAATGTTCTGCAGCTGCAGTATGGCAGAGGAAGATACGAAGCCTCAGGACCAACGGTAGCTATAAGTTAAGATGCCCATTGTGCCATAACTCCTTTAGTTTCAGCTATTTCCGTGCTTGGAATATCACTGCTGCCACTCGGCAGCGAACGCTTGGCAGTTGACAGGGTTGTGCAGAAGTGCTGCCTTCTCATGGTATTTTGGCTTTAGACAGCACGGGGGACACTCTCTGAACTTGTGGCCGTATAGCAAATGATAGATATATAGATCTTGTGTTAAGGCAAATACTACGGGAGCTGGAGCGTGAAAAGAAGTGGGACTTGATGACATTTGCTTTC